GTCCTTGGGGTCACAAAGAGTCGGACAGGATTGAGCGACTGAACTGAGCTTCTAGCTTCACTGTTCTCTTCATTTTTTTCTTTTTTCCAAAATAGTCTCAGTGAAGCTGAAGTGAATAAGACGGGGATTGCCTTGGTAAATTATGCTGTAGGGATTTTTTCGTCCCTCTATGTTTTCAGTTATTTCGAATGTAATTGACAGTCTTTCCACGGGGACCTGGCCCTGGAGCATATTAATTCATGGGGTTGAGATTCTGGAAAGCATCTTGGAAGTTCTTTAGGACAATAGTGAAAATCAGGAGTTCTCCAAACTTCTGCATGTTGATTTGGGTCATGTGAGAGGGCCATAAAACCTCTACTTGTATATGAAATAAGAGTGGGCTGAATTTGAAGTTAGGGGCCCAGTGTACCAACTTGCTACTGAGATTAGTCACGAGATCCTCACGTGTAGTAAACCTGATATAACTGCCAGTTTCTTCCTTCCCACACCCAGTTTGTACTTCCAGCCGTCCCTCGGGATGGATGTCTCACATATCTGAAAAAGTCTAAATATTTCTCTGAAAAACATTCCTTTTATTCAGTGCTGTACACAAATACTCGGGATGCGCTTACACTCCTAGCAGATTCCTTTTATCTTGTTCACACAATCTCACATGGTAGCTTCTTTACTGTGAAAGAAGTCACGTGAGTTGGCAGTGCTTTCTCTGCTCCCATGTGTTTTGTAGTACAGTGGATCAGATCCAGCTGTCTTAGCATCTTCAAGTCGGTTCAGATCTATGGCTCTGTTCCCACAATTTTAAGAGGAACGGTTGGTCTATGATGGTGGATTTTCAGACAGGAGGGGTGGGTGTGGGTATGTGCGCCTGTGCTTGCTCAGTTGTGTCCAACTCTTTTCAACCCCATGGACTGTAGCCCACCAGGCTCCTCTGTCTATGGAAGGATGTCCAGGCAAGAATGTCGGAGTAGGTTGCCGTTTCCTTCTCCAGGGGATTTTCTCGACCCAGGGATCAAGCCTGCCCTCTTGCATCTTCTGCATTGGTAGGCGTGTTCTTTACCAGCAAAGCACTGGGGAAGCCCTGTGTGGGAGGGAGGCCCCTACTGCAATTAAAACATCCATTATCTCTTATAAATTGAAGGACTTTTTTTTTTGGTAGGGTGAAATAGTTCTGTCATTTTTTAAATAAAGTTTGAAAACTACTAGTCTGTGTATTCTAGGATTTCTTCTGTGCTCAGTCTCTAGGAGGGGACAGGAGGGTTGGAGAGAAGTGAAGTGATGAAAAGTGATGTATTCTGCCATCCTGAGAAGTAACATGCTAAACAATAATCTGTAACTAAATGGCTAGGGAGAATGTAATTAGTTATAGGGTGCTGCTCAAATTATAACTTGGCCTATGGCATTAATGTTAAATGTTACAATTTGACTGACTGTGTTGAGCATGAAGCTGTGGTTTTGCAAAATATTCATGATGTTGTTGAAAGAAATGCTTCAAGGATGAATTCTGCAAAGAGCTTAGAAAAAGGAGAATGAAGAACAGGTAGGGCTCATTCTTAATCGAGAACCACCCAACAGAGAGAACTCCCAAAAGGCCAGAGAGATCCTTCTGGTAGCTGGAGACATGAGCTGATTATGAGGCAGGGATATTTCATGTGACTTTCTCAGAGTTTAATTGAAATCTTCAAAACCAGCCCATCCTCTTGACCTTCATCCTCTTGTCACTAGAAAGATAATAACCTTATCTCCCATTATAAATGAGGAAATTGGAAAGTTGCAGTCAGGCCCGTGAGTTTGCTAGCAGTGACTCAGCAGCCCCGGCACAATCATCTGTTGGAACGCCGATAAAAGAGGAGTTGGGGGGCCGTCACCGTCATTGGAGGAGTTTCTCTCTGGGCGGCGGCTGGCCTTCCACCAGTGTTCTGCGACTGTTGTCATGTCAGGATGAGTGTAGCGATTTCTTGGTTCAACTAGCACATCCATTTAATGATTATTAAAGCCTGATATTTATGTAGTTTTTAGCCTCCAGTACTTCAAGGTAAGATGTAATGCCCTGAGAGAAAGGTAAGGAGCAGGTCTTATTTTGTAAACAACTGAGTCTTAGGATGCTGCAGTCCATGGGGTCACAAAGACTCGGACACAACTGAACTGAACTGAGGCTTAGACTGGTGTAGCCCCCTGCCGGTTGGCTAGTGCTTCCTTAGAATCACACACCCCATATTGATCATCCAAGCCTAAACTGGGTCCATACTCATTGATTAATAATATTAGATGCGTTCACAAGTAAGAGAGAATTGAGCTCAGGGTGATAAATTTTTGCCAACGTCTAGACCTGATTAAAGCCCCTCTACTCACATAGAATGTGTAACTGTATTGAAGATACTGTGTGTTCAAATTCAGTATTTTCCAGAAAGCTCTTTTACCCTCTAGATAGAGCAACTTGAACCCTGAAGAGTTTTCATTATAACAGCTTATGCTGCTTTGTGTAAATCAGCCTCTCTCCAGCTCTGTCCAGTAGAATTTTCTGTAGCTTTTCTGTCCATGGCAAGTGTACTGGAGCGGGTTGCCATTTCCTTCTCCGGGGGTCTTCCGGCCCCAGGGATTGAACCCAAGTCTCCTGCATCGCAGGCAGGTTCTTCACTGCTGAGCCGCCAGGGCAGCACAGTTCCGTGCAGTTTGACTTAAAAGTGCACCTCTTTTAATTTATTTCTGTTTTCTGACTGGAGTTTTAGAAGTCCTAACAGCACTCAGTTCTTGCGTAGAAAATAGACAAACTCTGTCTCCATCATACACCCCAGAATGCTTGACTGAGAAACAGGTGTGATTTTTCTTTAAACCTGGACGATTTAAGCAACTGGTGCTGCAGTGTAACGGTAACAAGCTGGTGAAGTAACTTCTCTTACAATACCAGGTGGTGCAGCCAGTCATCAAGTTAATGTGTCCGAGAGCCGCCTTTGCAGTGATTGTCCAGAAAAGTAATTTGATGCATTAGAGGGCAGAGAGCTTTTGTGTTAATGTGATAATTGGGGGGAAATCAGAGATGAAAGAAAATGAAAGAATAGTGGCTACTTCCAACCTCTAATGCTCTTCCTGTGTAGTACAGTTTTCATAAGGATTTTAAGCGTAAACAGGCAAAGGCAGCCACTCCCATCTTAGATGTTGTCCCATGGATGGGAGTAAAATTAGGATAACTTGGAATGGTAATTTCAGGAAATGGAGGACAAGATCACCTTAATTAGGTAGAGCTGGAGAGCTTAGTCATCAATGTCTTCCTGCTCTTGTTTATTCCCAGCAAGCATTTCAAATCATCAGGCTTCTTTTTAGAAGTTAGTTGTGCTACTTTAAGCTCGACCTTCCTCCTGTTATTTTACATTTTTGCTCTTCTAACTTTTTTGCCTGTTGCGGTTATCATATGACTATCTCTTCAAGCAAGAGGGCAAATTAATATGTTTAAATTACAGTTTGAAGTGTGCAGAAGACCAATTTTTTCTTTTTCTCTTTGTGATATAATTCCAGGAAAAGGAGAAGGAATGGCAGTGAAGAAGACCACCATCTCCCGCCACAGACCAAAAGGAGCAGTAGAAACCCTGTCTTCCGCGATTCTTGGGACACAGAGGTAGGACGAGTGGTGGAGAGCACCTGCTGTTTTCATGGCTTGAGTCGTTTTTGGGTAATGAAAATTATTCCCTATTTAAGGGAAAAGTGATCTGACTCGATTTCAGTGTTTCCCTTTCTTTTTCCCCTTTCTTCTGAGTCATGGCTGTTTTGAGGATGCTACCCACTTTCTCCACAGCAAAACAGCCTGTGTTTGTATGTAGTAATGTATACATATGCTCAGAATTTGTATGTTACAGGTTTTATGGACCTCTGAAAGCCCATCTTTGAACCCTTCTTGGTATTTCAGAAGCCAACTTCTTTTCTTCTTCTTTTTTTTTTATATATGGACTATTTTAAAAGTCTTTGTTGAATCTATTGCCATATTGTTTGTGTTTTGTGATTTGGTTTTTTGGCCTTGAGGCATGTAGGATCTCAGCTCCCAGCCAAGGATGGAATCCGCACTCCCTGCATTAGAAGGCAAAACCCCAACCACTGGACGGGGGACGAGCCTCTGAACTGAGGTTTCCTGGGTGCCTCAGTGTCCTTCCTGTGCACTCAAACGCCTGGTCTGCAGTGAGGCAGGGAAGCTGACTGGATGCCGCTGTTATTAACAAATGATGCACCTGAAGCTTTGACCCTCAACAGTTGTCGGCCTAAGAAAGAAACTCCTCACTGCAAAGGTCCCTAAGCCCCGGCCTCATCACTTAAAGCAGAATTTCATGTCTCCCAATTCTCACAGAACCAGAATAATTTGTACTTTAGTTCTTGATAGTAGGATTTGATCTATGTCTGGTCTTTAGCAGAAATCCAAAGTAAATCCCTCAAGGAGGGAAAAAATCAGTAACTGTCAGGTAGGTAGTCCTCATTCAAGAGCGTCTGCTGCACCCCAGAGCAGACTTGATCCTTCTATGTGGAGACTGAACTTTCTGTAGCTCTTATCCCCCCTTTTAAATCCTCGTATCATTTTTTTTCCCCTTTAGAGTAGCAGAAAAGTGTTGAGCTGTTGGTTAACGTGGTAACTAGGGAATTTCACAGATGGAAGAAAACCAAAGATTAAAGGCTGCCATGAACATCTAAGGATAAGAATTGAGTTTCCATGATTCTTTTGAGTTAAGACTATTCATTAAAAGAGTATATGATGATTACTTTGATGGTATCAATGTAAATATTTCTTTACTTGTGCCTGTATGTCAGTCCTGCTGTATGATGTTTGCATTAGTTCAAAGGTACAGTAGATCTTTTTATTTATTTATTTATTGTATTGATCTTTTCCCCCTGGGTCTACAGTTTTAATGCCTGAGAGCAGGAGTGTAAATGGTCATTTTTAAAAACAAATCAAGCATTTCTGACCTCTTGTTTTGAATAACACTCCTAGCATCAGGTTTGGTGGTGTTCTGACTGCTGTTGGTGGAGAATGGCCTTCACCCCTTCTGACGCCCAGGCCTTGGCCTCACAGAAGCTGCTGTGCTGTTGTTCCACCTGTGGGTCCATGTGTGCTGTTCTTACTTGTCCAGAGAAATTGAGTGATGAAACCACTCTGTAGTTATTAGTCGGAAGGGTGGACTGGATTACCCCGCTAATAATTAGCAGTCAGTACAGGTACTTTTCACCCGTCATGGGAACCTGGACTTGTTGGTAGGCCCTTGGGTTCCTCACGTTTACCGGCGTCCGGTGCTGGCGAGTAACGTGGCCGGCCGAGCAGACCCCGGGGGTGCTGGAGCGGCAGATGGCAGGGGGTCTTTAAAACAGAGAGTTCAGTCCTGAGGAATTAAATCTACCGCTGGAGTAGGTCATCATGTTTAAGCGTAAAAAGAGCCAGGTTAGGGACAGTGGGGTGCTCGTTGGCAATTGTGTACAAAGGGGAATATAATAAGTCATTACTAGTGGATTCTTAATTTTACTAATTTGCATAATAAAGTCTGCCGCTGCTGCTGCTAGGTCGCTTCAGTTGTGTCCGACTCTGTGCGACCCCATTGACGGCAGCCCACCAGGCTCTGCCGTCCCTGGGATTCTCCAGGCAAGAAGACTGGAGTGGGTTGCCATTTCCTTCTCCAATGCATGAAAGTGAAAAGTGAAAGTGAAGTTGCTCAGTCGTGTCCGACTCTTCGCAACCCTATGGACTGCAGCCTGTCAGGTTCCTCCGTCCATGGGATTTTCCGGGCAAGAGTACTGGAGTGGGTTGCCATTTCCTTCTCCAATAATAAAGTCTTATTGAAAATGGTATCTTTTAATTCTAAGCTAGGGCCAACAAGGTGTATTTCTTTGAAACACTTAAGAGAAACCATTTCCTGTGTCTTCTTGAAATACTTAAGTTTAGAATTTTTTTCTTGTAACATGAACAACTTTCATTTGGTTAATTTCCAAAACTCACTGTTTTCTCCTAAATGTAATAATATTGGCAGGTACTGTGAAATAAGACATGAGGTGTTGGAATTACTTTGAACTGTGCCACAAGTTAAGTCATGCTTATCTGTAAAATGGAGATGGTATGGGCCTCTTTTTCCCTCGATTCTAGGAAGCTGAAGAATGTGAACTGACTTGCCAGATTAGTTATGTAAAGTGAAATTTTGAATCTGCTTGTACATTTTCTTCCTGTCACTTTGGTGGGTGTTATGATCTCTACTTTTTAGATGGAAAAATTGGGGCACAGAAAAATAAAGTCACTTGCCTAGAGATATAAAGCTAGTACAAGGCAGGTCAGTGAGCCCCAGAATATGAGCTACCCACAGTGTGTACCGTCTCCCAGAAGACAAATCAGAAGGTCTGAAGGACTTTGCTAAATATATCCAGGGCTGCTAGGTCCTGGACTTCTCTTGAATCATGGGAACAGAGAAGAGTATTTTTCCCACTTAATGCTCTGAAACTGTATTAACTCAAAAGCAAGTTTAGTAAAGAAATTGGGGTTTGGTGTTCTTTTCGACTCTGATGGTCTTTGCCTTAAAGACGTTGAATATTTACTCCAGTGGCTTAGATTTAATGACTTGGGAACTTTAGGGTAGTATTTTGAAAATTGAGATATAATTTACAGGTATAGGAATAAAAAAGTTTTTTGAAAGCCATTCTAGATGATTCCTGGTAGTTAAGGTCTAAGACAGTTTCTATTTCATCTGGTGACTAAGTGAAGTGATTGGTCACTTTGCATCTTCCCGTTGAGTCCTTTACAAAGGTAGCCCCATTCCCTGACCTCACACAGCAACTGGATGGGTAAAAACTAGCTGAATTTAACTGATTTAGGCTGACCTTTTCATAGGCTGACCTTTTCATAGGCTGGCTGTTTTGGTTTAAATTGTAGCTTTGGTTATAGGAATGATGGCTCTTTATTTTCAACTTGAACATCTTTTTTTACAAATTACACTGGACACTTCTACTGAGTCTGGCCTCTGGTGTGTGTTAATGCCTTACAAGTAGTACTGCTATCTGAGTGAATGAAAGCTGTACTGTTTTTAAATACAAAGACTCCAACTTTAAAAAAACTTTATTTCACTGTGCCAGGATTTAGCTGTGGCATTCAGAGTCTTAGTTGTGGTATGTGGGATCTAGTTCTCTGGTCAGGGGTCGAACCAGGGCCCTCTGCATTGGGAGCACAGACTCTTAGCCACTGGACCAGCAGAGAATCCACCCCCCCCCCCTTTTTTTTGATACTTTTAACTCACCAAGATTGAGCTTTTAAAGATCTTTTGGATCACTGTAAAATCATAGCAGGTAGAGAATGAAAATATGTGGAAATAAAACAGAGGTGGCTTAATTGGAACAGCCTTTGTCTTGTTCTTGTGTTTACTAGAACCGAAAATCTTTGATGTCATAACCCTGAAACCCCAAGGGTATTTTATTAGGAGTGTAGAGGCATGACAAAAATAGCTGAACCAGGGGGGTCTGTGCATGGCTACAATTAGGATCCCATAAGTCCTTTTGTCTTAACTGATAAGAATTAGCAGAATGTTAGATAAATTTTTTTTTGGAACAGTGTGAATTTATATGACCCTGGGAATATTTAGCATAGCTTTGTAGGAAGGTATTTTAAGACTTTGTTTTTGCTCATTCTTATCATTAATCTGTCTAGGGTACTGGACAAAACTGTTTTGGCAGACTCCAGGGTGAGAAGTTAAGGTTGTGTACTTAAAACCCTGTAGCAGGGGACTTCCTTGGTGGCTCAGTGGTAAAGAATCCACCTGCCATTGCGGGCGACGCAGGTTCGGTCCCTGACCTGGGAGGATCCCACATGCCACGGAGCAACTGAGCTCATGCACCCCCAGCTCTTGAGCCTGTGCTCTGGAGCCCAGGAGCTGCAGCTGCTGAAGCCCACGTGCCCTAGAGCCTGAGCTCTGCAAGAAGAGAAGCCACCGTGATGAGATGCCCTCGCACCGCAACTGTAGAGCAGACCTGTTGCCGCAGCCAAGACCCAGTACAGCCAGAAATAAACTTAAATTAATTTAATAAGCTGATGCTGATGCTGAAGCTGAAACTCCAATACTTTGGCCACCTCATGCGAAGAGCTGACTCATTGGAAAAGACCCTGATGCTCGGAGGGATTGGGGGCAGAAGGAGAAGGGAACGACAGAGGATGAGATGGCTGGATGGCATCACCGACTCAATGGACATGAGTTTGAGTAAACTCCAGGAGTTGGTGATGGACAGGGAGGCCTGGCGTGCTGCGATTCACGGGGTCACAAAGAGTCGGACACGACTGAGCGACTGAACTGACTGAAGAAACTATTAAAAAAAAAAAAACCCCTGTCGCAAATTAACTCTGAAATTATTAGGTTGGGGCAAAAGTAATCACAGTTTTTGCATTGCTGAAATTTACCATTTAATATTGAAATACAGGGCTTCCTAGGTGGCGCAAGTGGTAAAGAACCCACTTGCCAGTGCAGAAGACGTAAGAGACTCCAGGTTCTATCTCTGGGTCTGGAGGACGATTCCCTGGAGGAGGGCATGGCAGCCCACTCCAGTACTCTTGCCTGGAGAATCCCATCAACAGAGGAGCCTGGCAGGCTACAGTCAGTAGGGTCAAAAAGAGTT